TGGAATTGAACTTTCCAATGTCTTCCCACGTCCTCACGTATTTCTTCTCTCTCCCTCTCCTCTTCCTCAAGTAGAAAACCCTCTCTCATCACAGTCAAACATAACCAAAACGATGGTAGAAGAAACCAGAGAGAAGGAAGAACCCAAGTACTCACACATCTGAACCAGGAAGAAGGAAGAAAAAATAAGCAACCAAATGTCCCTCCTTCCATATCCGCCCTATTCACTGCCAAAGTTCGATACCGAGCCATTGATTGCGTCGATTATGGTTTGTTTCACAACATTTTTAAAAATTGTGACTGTGTGATGCTCCATGTGAATTTTCTAATTACACTCATGAATTAATTTCGAATATTACCTTTATTTTGGAGTTATCGTACTTAGGATACTGATCGTTGAATTGAAATTCTTTCTGCTTCTTTTCCATTGTAATTTATGATTGACCTTTATTCAGTGTAAAAAATAGATAAGGGGGAGAAAATGGCTCTTTCTTTCACTACATTACCATGGGGGTGGTTGGTCGGTACAGAGAAAGAGCAAGTCTTGAATGGGACATCAATGAATTCGATAAATTTTCCTTCACCCAGTTGCGGCTTCCTTTCTCCGTTTTAGTCGAAAAGCTTTTCCAGAAAGTGCTGGAGCCTTTACTTTTTAATTCTCAACTTTCTGGAAGGAGAATTTAAGGGACACTGTCAATCAAACTATTAAATGACAAAACTGTATTCAACAACAAAGAAATAAAAAAGGATGGTTTACATCTATCAATTAATTTATATCATGTGTAACAATGGTATGCTGGTAATCATCTGTTTATATGGCCCTGTGGGATTTGAAATTATTAAATGCTAACTTGATGAAGTCGTACTGTGCTTGTTTTCATATAAGGATGGTATTTAAGCTCCTAGCATATGATAAACATCACTTGATCTTGATGATTTGTCATTTTCTGTTGAGTTGAAATGATGTAGTGTTTAGTTTTCTTGGCCATGGTCCTTTTTTCATGTATTGACTCATCAAAAGTAGTTGCTTTCCTGTGTGTTTTGGTATCATTCCCTCTCCCGATTTAACAAGTGCATAATGTAGCAAGGGTTGTCGCACACCTTTTAGTTAACTCACTTGAATATTTTGCAATTTTAAAGAGATCCTCAAGTGTTTATGAAGTTGAGATAGGTACACATTTGCTACCCTGTTACATTTATAATACTTAATTGTTTATTACAATTTTGCCCAAAGTGCTATAAATGAATTTTTAATTAGTAGTTACAAATGATAGGTACATGGTGCTTGATTTATCATGGCATTTAAGAGCTTTGTCTTTTCGGACGGTTGATATATTTGTTAAAGTTGGTATATGCTTTCTAGGGTGATTATATAATCAGTGAAACTTTTGAAACATATAAATTTACACGCCTTGTGCATGGTGTACCGTACTTTTTGTTGTATTCTCTATCTGCCCTATTCGCTGCCAAAATGACTTGATGAAAGTTTTTATCAACTACAATTTTTTTTTCCCTCAAGTCTCCATGCCATGCTTACAGGATGGTGATGGAGTTTATGGACCCCCAAAATTGGCTCCCGCTGCTATAGAGGAAGATAAGATGTCATGACAGGAGAGAAATGCTTTGAGAGAAGAGAGAAAATATGCGACAAGTGAATTGTAAAATTCATATTTATGCATCTCATGGTGTAACCATTAATCTTGAATTCTTCATCCTGAATTTATTTTTTTGGCAGCTAGAAGCTAGTGAAAAAATGGAGATATTCAGGGGTTTCAAATAGTTAATGAGGCCGTGAAGCATATTTGGTCGATCAAAGAAAAGAAGAATTGAATGATCTATGAGGAGGTACTTACAATTGTAACCAGTGAAAGATAAATATAATGCATCAGTAACTTTGTATTTCTAATATTGCAATTTGTAATGTCAAGGGGAAAGCGAGGGATTGCCAAAATTTGCCTATTTCTAAGATATGCTTCTCTCTGATATAGAGATCCAATCTCAATCTATACATCAAAGCTGTTCACTATGAGCTTCAACCATTTGCCTGCAGCATTCCTAGTTGTGGGATGAAATTTGCATTCAAACATATCAGGGATAATAATGAAAAATCTGGGTGACATGTTTATACCCAGGTAAGTTTGGCCTTATTTCCCAATTTTACAACTCGACTATCAGTCCCTTTTCCATCCTGAGAGATGTTTTGGGCAATTAAAATATAAACTACTCTTTGAGTCTTGCTATGTTCAGGGAAATTTTGAAGAGTCCAATGAGCAATTTGTCTAAGACCAAGAGGTTTCAGGAAAAGAACAAGCCTAGAGATTGAGACCTTGATGCGGAAAAGGGTTGTTTCGCCTAGTGAATCAGGTCTCATGAGACAGGAGGGACCTGAATACTTGTCGTGGCTACTTTTTGGATATTCACAGGATTAAACAATCGTTGGGAGAAGACGTAGATGCTGCCATCAAACATATGTAAAAGTATGGTATTCATAGGATTAAGAGGACTTGGATTATTCAAAAAACATATGTATAAGTATGGTATCTTTGTTGATTTTAATTGCTACTATCGTACGATAGACATGTTTTGGTTTTTTTTTTTTTTTTTTTTTTTTTTTTTTTTTTTTTTTTTTTTTTTTTTTTTTTTTTATGTAATACATTGGACAAAATCTGATCATTGTTTATTGAATTGATTATATTGATTATCTGATAATTATTTTTGAATGGAATTAAGAATATTTAAGAATAATGCTTGTGGTACACAAGCGTATACAAAGGGGTGTCCACTCGGTATTGGCCGAGGCGCCTGTGGACTTCGGCGTGACAGGCGCCTAGGCCAATATGTACACCTCTTTGTACACGCTTGTGTACCCGTAGCAGAACCGAATATTTAATTCCCATAAATGAGTCGAAATTAGAATTGGTAGGGGTGTTTTCCTTATTTTTTATAAATCTTCTTATTATTTTCTATCACATTATCATCGAAATATGACTTCTTCAAAAAATCATAATCATTGTGCGCATGTAATATCAATTAATTTATAAATACACCATTGTTTAATATTTCTAAAAATTGATTGACTAATTTTCATGGAAAAAGTGACAATTTTCATGGAAAATAGTGGTTGTCAAACAATTAAAGGTGGAAAAAATGACTATTTCCATGGAAAATAATGGTTATCAAACACCAAAAGATGGAAAATTGGAACATTTTCTAGGTTGAAATTTAAGTCAATCAAACACTTGTAATTAACAATTTCCTTGTAAATAATTTTCATGCTGTTGAATTACCTGGAAAATATTTTCTTTCCGTGCAATTTTCCTACTTGCAATCAAACGCACCCTAAGAGTGTGTTTGATTGACATGAAAAATATCACCTAAAAATGAAAATATTTTCCTTCTTTTGGGGAAAATAAAAACCACCTCCACCCAAGGAAAATGTTTTCCTTAAAAACAAGGAAAATTAGGCATATTTTCAAAAGTTTGAAAATGTTTTCCGTGGAAAAAAATAACAATCAAATACTCTAAGTAGAAATTTGGGTGAAAAATTGATATTTTCCATAGAAAATAAATGTAATGAAACACACCCTAATATATTGTAGATAAGTGATTTTATAAGCTTGCACAAACATGTTCAACAGAAATTACTACGACAATCGGAATCTACATGTTTACTTGATAACATCATGTTTAAGAAATGAAAGAAGCCAAAAGCTTAATCAGATCCTTTGCTTTCTCAGTGTTAGGATCGAATATATGAAAGCAATGATCCTCAGCATCAACCACCACCAGCTGCACTTCACCATTCCACCCAGTTTTCTTCAGAGTCTCAACGTAAAGAATCCCTCTAGGCGTAAATGCATCCTTCTCTGCTAAACAAACCAGCAGCCTTGAACACGCCTGCCCGGATAAGCTCGGGGCGTCCTCTGTAAATGGATTGATCATTGGATTGTCAATCCCACCAGGGGCTGATGGATAAATACACATCCAAACTTTATATGCAAAACCTTTTAAATCTTCTTTTGATTGTGACCCAACTGGTTTTGATCCCCAGAAATAAGGACAAGATAGAAATGAACCTAAGATTTTCACATCCCCAGGCAAAGGTTCTAACCCAGCTCGGAGAACAATATTATGCACTATATTGCCGCCTGCACTATCCCCGCCGATATACAGTTTGCCAAAATCACCGTGTTTAGTAATCCATTCATCCTTTTCGATACAAGCGTTTGCAATAACGTGCGACGCCACCCATTGAAGGGCAGTCCATGAATCTTCATAGGCTATAGGTAGAAGGAGTTCAGGGGCAAGCCTGTATTCAACAGAAATGATTAGAGCTTTAGCTTCGGCGGCTAAAATGTTCATGTAGCAGTGGGAGAGCAAAGAGTAGGGGGATTCAACGATAAATCCACCGCCATGGTAGTAGACTAAAACGGGGAGTTTTTGGTTGGAATCTGTCAGCTTTGGGAGGAATAGTCTGGCTTTAACCTCCGGTGAACTGACCATTATGTCTTTAGAGGCTACGCCAGTAGTCGGGTCGTCCGCTGACGGCGGGACATTCTGTGTGACCATGAATCTCTCGATGGTTCCATCTGTGTACTCTGTAAGATAAGGAGAGAGGTCGTGGATCACTTCTTTGGTAGTGTTTGAAAATGTGGCAGTGTTCATGATTCTGTTGTGGGTTGTAAATGAGAAAATAACGGATACTTTTTGATTGATAGATGATATTGGACAAATATATCCAAATTTATATAAACATTTGTTGGAGGTTGATTATTATTTCATTATTCGACTTAATAAAGAAAGCGGTGGACGTGAAACTCGAAAATGACCCTTTTTTTTTTTTGGGAACAGCTTGACTGATAGATGGATTTCGTCCATTTGATTGTTAGTTGACCAAGAAAACGTATTTTGATCAAATTTTTAATCTTTTAAAAAGGATAAAATGGTAATTTTATATTTTTCATATTAAACAATTAAGTAATTGAATAAAAAAAGAAATAAAAAGAAAAAAGTCTATCTTCTTCCTCACCCCCACCCGCCCGGCTAAGCCAAAATCACTCATCGCCAATTGATAAACCATTTCGTAGGATCCACTACTATTTATCTTTATAAATTATTTATAAATTTAACTATTGTTTGATTCTTATTATTCTAAAAATTCATTTTTTTAAAACTCATTTACAACTATACATTTTTCAATAAAATAATATTACACGTAAACCCAAAATTTTTCCTTAATTTTTAACTACGCATTCTCTATCAATCTACTATTCAAAATACATTCTTTCCCCCAAAATGGGATTCAAACAAAGGCTTAAGAAACAAAGGCGTAACCCTATTCTTACTTTCTCAACATTTTACTTATCTCAAATCATGAAATACTTATTTTAGAAAGTAATTTGAAGTGACATCGCAACTAAATAATATCACGACTCATGAGTTCAATGTAAACAATAATGTTAGTGAATTAATAAAGAGATAGAATTATTAAAAGGAGACGTGAGCAATTCTTAAACACTCCTAATCAATTTTTCTCTTTATGTTAAATAATGACTAAAAAGAAGAGTAATTAAAGGACACAAGCAAATTTTACAAACCATTAGGCAGTCAATTCTTCTCTTTATGTTAAACAATGAATAAAGAGAAGACTGGTTAAAGGAGACAAGAAAATTTTTAAACCTATTAGACAATCAATTCTTCTCTTTATATTAAACAATGATTAAAGAGAAGTGATTAAAGGAGACAAGCAAATTTTAAAAACTATGAGGCAATCATTTCTTCTCTTTATGTTAAATGTCATGCTATTAGTACACCGAGCTTGATACATTATACTCACATTGGAGGGGTCGCGCATTATTTTATTGGCCATGGGCTCCTCACCCTTGTGAGAAGAGTGTCAGCCGAGCTGTAAAGCTCGGACTCTACAAATGCTTCAACCCTTATGTTAAGCAATGAATAAAGAGAGGAGTGGTTAAAGAAGACAAGAAAATTTTAAAAACTGTTAGGCAATCATTTCTTCTCTTCATGTTAAGCAATGATTAAAAGAGATGTTTAAATTGAATCATTAGTCGTGATATTACTTAGTTGTAATGTGACATGAAACTATTTTCCTGAAATAAGTATTTCATAATTCCAAATATATTTATATCAAATTAATGTTAAGCCTTTGTTTGACAAATTTATAAACGATTTATAAATATAAAGAGTGAAGCATTTGGGACTTCTTTTAAACTAGTTGAGTAAACTGGCAACCCAATGAGATGATTCAATTAACAGCAAGAAACAGGTCGGCTCGTCTTTAGATAGTCTGAACACAATCTGAAAAATGTGAAGTAGGCTCGACTTGATTTATATCTCTTGATGAAATTTGCATGGAATTGATTCCTAATCCTTAGTCATATAAATCTATTGCTCGTGATAGATAACTGTAATGATAATAGAAACTCTGAGGTTGCTAATTTATAGAAGCTCTTATTTGATACTTGCTAGACGTTCAAAAGAAATTTGAAAATTATAAAACAAAGGTAATCTCTCGCCTGCAAGGAATTCCCCCATTTCCCATTGGTCATGTGTGGATTCCATTTCAGAAAAGTCCAATGCTGATGAACGATCACCTCATTGTCATCAATTGTAGATAGTTAATAAGGGTTTTTAGCCCATCGTTGTCTCTTGCAAAATTATTCCTATAAACTCACTCACGGGAATCGTTTAAAGCAGAACAGAAAACTGAAAGAAAAAGGGATCGAATCGATATTTATCCAATCGTGGATAAACAAACCAACTAGCGGGCTCTCTCTCCATTGCCTAAATTATAAAGCTTGCCACAGGGTGGGCTTGGCGAATCATTGGAGTAGCGTATAAAAGTCTCTACCACAACTAATTGGATAGTACCAAGACCTTAATTTGTGAACTCAATCTGTTCCAGCCCCGGAAGCTGTACCATGATGTTCTTCCTTGGTTGGGACGTCAACAATAGCAATAATATTTATGTTTGTATTGATATTATTGATGGTCCCTAGACTTCAATATCATATGACCTGATGGAGAAATAACATGAAATATTAATCTATCTGGCCACGTTGTTGGCATCGAAAAAATCACTCTACTCATAGGAGTAAAACATTTAAGGCTTTCGGGGATTCAATACACACAATTCATTCAAGTCAAAGAAGGCTTTTAGAATAAAAATTCATAGTTCTTGTAAGGCAGTGAAAAAAAAAAA